TTCTAAGAGGATCAAAATGTGCCTTGGAAACCTAAGGAACCAGGATCCATAGAAAAAGTATAAGATTTTTGGGAGTATTCCAAAAAGAATCTTTTGAATGATAAGTTAATTAAGAGAATTAAAGATTTCAGAGATGATGCCATCAGGTAAATTCCTCAAGCAAAAATCAACAAACTAAAGGCCTTTTCACAAAATCCATTATTTTAGAAAGATAAAGTATTTAATGCATCTGTTGCAGCAGGTAACCTAAGTTTATGGGTCAGAGCAGTAGTAGAAACTTATGATGCTTTATTAGTTGTAGATCCAAAGAGATAATAATTACTTGAAGCAGAATCAAAATTAAAGGAAGCCGAAGATACATTAAGAGTTAAGTAAGAAGCATTGTAAGAAGTGCTTGACATGCTAGCCAAATTAGAGGCAGATTATAATAAGGCCAAGTAAGAAAAGGAAGACTTGGAGGCCAAGGTTAATAAGTGTAAAATCTAATTGAGCAGGGCAGAAAAGTTGATAACAGAACTAGGAGGAGAAAAGGAGAGTTGGAAGAAGAAAGCTGCTGATTTTAGAGTTGATTCTAAAACAATAGTTGGTGATTGTATTTTATCGTCAGGAATTGTGGCTTATTTGGGAGCATTTCCTATAGCTTATAGGGATGATACAATAAAGGCATGGCAAGGTTTATTAGTTAAATTGAATTTGGAATATGATCCAGATTATTCATTACAAAAGATTTTATGCGATCCAATCACAATGGGATAATGGACAAATGTGTAAAAGTTACCAAATGATTCATTTTCAATTGACAATGCTATCATCTTAAAGAATTCTACAAGGTGGCCTTTGATGATTGATCCTTAAACATAAGCCAATACATGGGTTAAGCATATGGAGATGAAACATGGAGAAAATTAATCTTTGGTGATCGTGAGACCTACTTAATCTTAGAATGTGTTGTCTAAGACTTTGGAAAGTGCATTGCAATTTGGTTAAAGTGTATTATTAGAAAATGTTGGAGAGAGCATAGATGCTATTTTTGAATCGATTTTACAACAAAAAATCATCAAATAAGGTTCAGCTTATAAATTGAAATTCGGAGATAAAATGGTTGATTATTCAAGAGATTTCAAATTCTACATGACAACCAAATTAGCCAGACCTCATTACCCACCTGAAATCTGTGTCAAGGTGACTATGCTAAATTTCTAAGTTACTTAAGAGGGATTAGAAGATCAGATGCTAAATATTGTTGTAAAAATAGAAGAACCTGCTAAAGATGAATAACGACAAAGAAATATTAAGGAGTTCTTTGAAAATAAAAACAAATAAAAGATGACAGAAGATAATATTTTGTAATTATTGCAAGAATCTAAAGGCAATCTGTTGGATGATGAAGTTCTAATTGATACTCTCTAAAGATCAAAAGCAGAATCAATAACTATACAAGATAAATTGAAGAAGTAGGAATAGGATAGAGAATAATTCAATTAGATTCGTAATTTTTACAGAGAAGTGGCAAAGAGAGTCGCTAATTTATATTTTGTTGTGTTGGATCTTTCATTAATTGAACCAACTTATCAGTGGTCCTTAGAATTTTATATCATATTATTTGAAAGAGCAATCAGGGAATCAATTTAAGGAAAGGAGAATAGAAGTAAAAATATCATAGATAAATTTTAAATCTCTTTATATGAGAGTATCTGCAGATCTCTTTTAGAGAAGGATAAATTAATATTCTCATTCTTGATGACAATGAAAGTGATGTAAAGTGATGGCAAGATTACTCCTTAAGAGATTCGTTTTACTATGGTGGGAGGTACCTACACAGATCCCACATATCATTAACCATAATAGGCAGAATGGATTTCTAAGAAGATGTGGTGTTTGATAACTGAGGCAGCTGATGTGTTAACTTGTTTCAAAGGATTGCCTGAATCAGTTGCAAAGAATCTTGATGTTTGGCAGGAGATATATGACAGCTCTGAACCGTAAACTTAAAAATTACCTGAACCTTGGGCTACATCTTTGTCAGCCTTTTAGAAATTAATAATATTGAGAATTATCAGGCCAGATAAATTTGCTAATGCAACTCAGAATCTAATTATTACAGAAATGGGTAAATAATTTATGGATCCTCCACCCTTCAATCTTGAATACGCCTATAAGGATGCAGATGCATTCACACCCTTGATTTTCATTTTATCACCTGGTGCAGATCCTCGTTTGGAAATATAAGCTTTGGCTGACAAATTTGGATTTAGGTAAAACTTTATTCCCCTCTCATTGGGACAAGGATAAGGAGAAATAGCCACAAATGCTATTAAAGGAGCAGTGAAGGATGGCAAATGGGTATTATTATAAAATTGCCATCTTGCTCCATCATTTATGCCAGAATTAGAGAGAATTCATGAGTAGGAAATATGTGCAAAACCAGATGTCAATACGGATTTCAGAATATGGCTAACTTCAATGCCATCTAACGTATTTCCAGTTACTCTTTTAATGAAAGGTATTAAGATGACTTATGAACCGCCAAGAGGATTAAAAAATAATATGCTAAGAAACTTCTCATCAATAGATAATAAAAGTTTTGAATAGTGTAAGAAACCAGTTGAATGGAAAAAATTATTTTTCGGATTAAACTTCTTCCATGCTGTTTGTTTAGAGCGTCGTAAATATGGACCTCTTGGATGGAATATACCATATGAGTTTACGTCTGCAGATCTAGCAATCTCTGTATCTTAATTAAGGAATTTTCTTGATACTTTTGAAGATATCCCTTGGGAAGCGCTTAATTATATGGTTGCTGAAGCTAATTATGGAGGTAGAGTAACAGATCCAAAAGACAGAAGATTAATTGCCATTCTACTAAAACAATTTTATACAACTGATGTATTGTAGATCGATAAACATAAACTGAGTCCAAGCGGAACTTATTACATTCCTCCAAATGGAGTTCTAGAAGATTACAAGGAGTATATAAGAAACCTACCATTGAATGATTAAACTGAAGTATTTGGATTACATGATAATGCTGAAATATCATCAGCAATTATCGAAACCAATTTTATTACATCAACTATACTATCATTGCTTCCAAGATCCACTGGAGGTGCGGGGACATCTGCAGAAGATCTGATAAAAGAAAAATGTAAATAAATTTTATCTAAATTGCCCAAAAAATTCAATGTTGAAGAGGCTGCTCGTAAACATCCAGTTTAATACAATTAGAGTATGAACACAGTATTGCAATAAGAATTGATTAGATTCAACAAATTATTATAAGCAGTGACACAATCTTTGATTGATTTAGGCAAGGCAATTGATGGTTTGGTTGTAATGAGTGCAGATTTGGAATAAGTCTTTAATAAAGTGTTTGATAATCAAGTTCCTGATATTTGGCATAAAGTTGCTTATCCATCACTTAAACCCTTAGGATCCTGGATTAATGATTTTATTGAGAGGTTGCATTTTATGCAATTATGGATCGACAACGGTGCACCACCTACTTTCTGGGTTTCTGGATTCTTTTTCACTTAGTCCTTTTTAACTGGCACACTATAAAACTTTGCTAGAAAAGTATTTAGATATTATATCATTAGTACTAAATTCCAATTGATACGTTGTCCTTTGAATTTATAGTGATCCCTCCTTCATCATAAGAGTATGATCTTACTAAACCACCTGATGATGGATGTTATATTTATGGTTTATTCCTTGATGGAGCAAGATGGGATGAAGAAAACAGATGTCTCAATGAAAGTTTACCTAAAATTTTGTAATACTCTGTACCATATCTCTGGTTGTTTCCAAGTGAGGAGAAGAAAGATTGGGAAGCTGATACATCTGTAAGAATAATTCTAATGTTCATTAGGTTTATGAATGTCCTGTATATAAAACCTCAAGAAGAGCAGGAACACTATCGACCACCGGTCATTCTACAAACTTTGTTATTTCTGTATATTTACCTATATCACCTGATCATCATCCCTACCATTGGGTTAAAAGAGGAGTGGCAATTTTGTGCTAGACAGACGATTGAATAAATATTTTGAGTAATATAAATTAAACTTAATTATTTATGGAAGAATAAACTTAAGAACGTTTATCCCAATTACAAGACATCCTAGCTCTAAATGATGTTCCTAAAATTACTAAGAAGCTAACAAAATTAGGATTCTCTTGTTCTGAGTTACTTTAATAATTAATTGAAACCAATCATAATTAGGGTATTCAAATCTTGCAATCATATTCAAACAACTTCACTGAATTAAAAGGAAAATCATTCGTGGCCTTAATATTGTATCTCTCAACTCAAGAACCCAATATTGAAGCTATCTTATAAGCAGACAAATTATTATAGTCCACTCAATATGTGGGGACCTTTGTGAAGAACTACGAAAAAGCGATTTAAGATGATAGCCCTTTGAGTCAATAAATTGTCAACCATATTGTCCAAAATAAAACAAATATCCCAAACTTCAATCTCATTTTTGATAAATTGTTCCAAATTTGTAAAGAAAAACAATTGGATAATATTCACGAATTTGAATAAATGATGAACACCTAAAAGGATGTTGTTTTAATTATTGACAAACCAATAATAAAGATTTTTCCATTGACTCCTAGAATTAAATCTGAGTATCTGCCTAAACACTTGTAAATAAAGAAAACCTAAAATGGCATTTCTAAATAAGAAGAACTGCGATCAATGCAAAGAAAAAAAATTATGACTAAAAAGAAATTAATGAGAGAACTTTATAAGGAATAAAATCAATTGCATAAAATTAAAAAGGACAAACTTCTTCATCAACTTGACAAACAAAAAGATGGATATAAAAAGTAAATACCAATTAATAATATCTTAGAGGATTGAGATTGCTGGAAGAACAATAAATGGAATTAAAAAAACTCAAAACTATGTAACTCAACATCAAGAGACATAAAAAGAAATCATCAAGAAAGGGGGGAAATAAACAGTGAAATATTTGTTAATATTATTAATTATGAAAAAATTTCTTTCAGTGATTAAGAATGTGACAGATCCAGAAAAAATAGCTAAATATAGTGCTCAGAAAATTGAAAACTTCGCTGATTATTTAGATTCAAATAATGAGAAACCTTCACAATAAATTCCATTTATGGTAATAACTATATGTTCATCATTATTATAGATAACAAGATAAATGAAAAATGATCTTTCAGATTTAGGATATAATTATGATGATATTAAAAAAATGACTCCAACTTATGCCAGTAATCTACTGTAAAATCAAATAAAAAAAAAGAAGTGATATATTATAATCTCACAAAAACAATTTTACATTTCTTATTCCTAAAATTGTTTTCGTAGTATGTGAAGTATCAAAATTTTGCCCAATCTCCCTCATTTGATATAACAAAAGCTTATCTAATTGAGTTAATGGTAGATTATTACTTAATTATTAAAAATACATTATATTATTTTATATGTGTTGATAAAATTGATGAATTAGAATAAATGTATTGCATAATTCAATATTTCTTTTTGCAAAAATTAAATATCAAATAAAATTGGTTTAAGGAGAAATATGACTGGTTAAAATCAATATTTTGTACTAGAAAAAAGCAAAAAAGTATCAATACTGTTATTAGTTTTGAATAACGATAATATATTTTTCATTATATGAAATGTTTTCTACGTCTAAGAGTTATTCATAATTTGATTAAAATAAATACAAAATATATGTTGCAGAAATTTGTAAACTGGTTTAGAGAGTTATTTTTTGGAAAAGAGCTTGAGATTGCTTTGGTTGGGTTACAAAATGCAGGGAAAAGTACTCTCGTTAATACTATGGCTACTGGAAAGTTCGAGGAGGATACCATTCCAACAATAGGATTTAATTTTAGATCTGTGAAGAAAGGAAAAGTGCAAATGAAGATGTGGGATGTTGGAGGATAAGCAAGGTTTCGAGAACAATGGGAAAAATACTGCAGATCAGCTGATGTAATTATTTTTGTTGTGGACGCACAAGATTAAGGAAACCTAGATATAGCTAGGTAGTAACTTAATTAGCTAATCTCTTGGCCTAGTTTAGAGGGGATCCCTTTATTAGTCTTAGGAAATAAATACGATCTCTAAGGATGGTAATATATTTATCGATATTTCTAGTATTACGGAATAAGAACTTATTACACAAATGAACTTAAATTCAATAAAAGACAGAGTGGTTGCATGTTTCAGTATTTCGGCCAAAAAAAATTCAAACATTGATGAAATGCTAAAATGGCTTTCCAATCTCTAAAGAAAAAATAAATGATAATATAGGTGTTAAATTAAATTAAATTCAATATTTTTGATAACTCTGAAATAAATTTGATTACTTCAAATAGAAATCTCTAAACGCATACTAGGTATTTTAGAAAGTTTCAGCTTATCAAATTTTTATTAGGATTATCTAATTCTGTTGTTATATGAAGTCAATATAAATTTATGGGCTGTAATAGATTAATAAAAAATATTGTATTTTATAAAAGCACAGCTTTTAGTGTTTTGGAGCAGCTGAGAAACAAAGTATAATAGTTTGGATTATATTAATAATAAATGATAATAAGATATATATTATTATATAATATATAATTATAAATGGAATATTGATTTTCAATTTCATTTTGAATCTAAAATGAATAAAATTAGAATATTTGAATTGGCATTTGTAATAATATAATTATACTATGAGCAAATGTAAAAATTCTTAATAATTGATTAATAAAAAATTTATTTTGTTTGGATAAATTTCATGGGCAATCAATGTAAAGGAACTGAAGAAAACGAAATTAAAATTTTCTAATCAAGCTAAGCTTTGATTGGATTTGTTTGTGACACAATAAAATATTTTATGGCTTTAAAATAATATTCTCAAGATCAAAAAGAAGTATAACTCTTATTAAATTTTGCCTAATAAATAAATCTAAGCTAATAAGCTCAAGTGCTAGAAAATGATCATTTTACTTCTCTTAAAAAAGTTAAATCTGGAAAAAAGTGGAATTAGGAATAGTTCTTTGATCGAATTAACTAATTAGGATCTATAAATATGCAAGAATCAATTCAAATTCTTAATCAATTTAACTTGAACTTATTACAATTTTAAGACTTGTACAATAGTCTAAATAATTTAGAGGTTTCCTTATTCCAAAAGAGCTAGCAATAAAACCAAGTAGATTTATTTCAAGTTCTCAGAAACAAATAAATATCTGAATAAAATACCGAAATAATTGGAGCAAAGCTATTATATTAAATGTTCATTCGAATTTCTAATAAAAAATTTATTATATTCCAACTAATAGTAAAAAAATAATTAAAATTAGGATTATTGGATTACCACAATAAAATCTAACAATCTTAAATTAATTATTGGATTGGCCTCTGTGATTATTTGTGAAATTTACAATTCCATAAAAGAAATAATTATACCTAAGAGAATTTTTGAAATTGTGATCATATGGATGGTTTAAGTAATAGTTTTCAATCTTTTTGATTCAACTAAAGAAATTAATAAGAAAGAACATTTACTTGATTTTATATTTTACTACAAATGCCCTATTGAGAAAATGATGATATTGTACGCTTAATAAAAGGTATTGAATATGCAATATGTAATGTTCAATGCCGATGCGGATGATGTGGCTGACAATATAGATAGACTTCTTCGTTAATACCCAAGAGCTGGCTTATTGAAGCATTAAATAAAATTAATTGAGGAGTATGTTAAAGAGGAATGGTTCTTCTCTCTTTATCATATTGTAAGAACATGGGGTGTAATTGCTTAGAGATTTTGAATTAGAATTTATAAAATAATATATGAATAATATAAGAGTGTTTAAATTTAGTTTGAAAGTTTTCATTGAAAGAGTAGTCATTGCAATCAATTTTCCTTGCAAACTCTAAGTAGCCTGGAAAAGAGGAAAATAAAAATTAGAAAGCAAACAATCAGATTTGAATGTCAATGTTGCTAATTTTAATGAGGAATTAGAAATGAATTCAAACATGTATTTTCAGGATAATCAATTCAAAGAAAAGAAATGCTTATTTACAATTACTCTTCTATCATAAAAGGGTAATAAAGTAGCAGGATAAGTGTCTGTAGACATTTCTTCTTATTTGAATAGAAAATTAGAAAACATAAGAGAAGAACTAAAGTTAGATAAATGTCCAGATAGGCATGCAAAAATTCATATTAGATTCCATTTCAAATGTCTAGAAGAATTGGACATTGACTAATTAAGCAGAATATCATTTGCTTCTAATATAGATTAAGAAGATCAATAAAATACTATTTAAAGTTCAGCTTCTTAAGTAACACAGAATGATATTGGAAATATACAAAATGAAAAATAAAATTAACAAAATTAATATCAACAGCAGGCTCTTTATACAGAATCGGATATGGATGAAATTAGGACATTATTAAGCAAAGAAATGAAAAAAGTATAGCAAAAAGATAGTTTGATATCATAGTTAGAGTAAAGTCTTGAAACTAAGTAAGAACAATTGGCTGATACAAAATAATAGTTAGAAGCAACGAAATAAAAGCTTTATGAGACTTTGGATAAATTATAAAACTATGAGGAATCAATTTCCAGTCATGATGATTATAGGAAAAATTTAGATAACCGAGTAAAGCAATTGGAGATTTAAAATAAATAATTGCAGTAATAGATTATTGAGTTTAATGAGCAATTAAAATTAAAACAATAATTAGTAGCTTAATCTGATTAGAAGTTATCAAATGCACTTGGTTAAATGTAAGTAATGAAGCAAAGAATAAGCCAATATGAAGAACTGGAATAATAGTAATAAAATAGAAAATCAGCTGGGAATAATAAAGACATGGAATTAATGTAAAAAAAAATAAATGATTTAGAAAAATAAATTTAAAGAGAATAAAAAAAACAAGAATAAGATTATGCCTTATATTAAGTTCAATTAAAGAATGTTTAGGCTTAATTAGTTGATAAAACAGATTTAATCAATAAATTACAAAAAGATCAGGATTTTGACAATAAAGATACTTCTTAAATTTCACAATTAAGAAAATAACTAACATAATATTAAGCAAACGAAGAATAGTTTAATAAGTAATGAAATTAATTATAATATTTAGAGTATTGAATTAATATAAAGAATAAGTACAAAAAGCCATTTAAAATGAAATCAAACTAAAATAATAATAATCAGAAGAAAAGGAAAGATTTAATGATCAGATAATCAAATTGAAATGCTAATTAGGAGATATCTTTAATACGGCATATGATATTGGAGGGAATAAACTAGTGGATCGTTTATAATAGGCAGTAGGCCTATCATGATTGATTAATATTTAATAAATAAATAATTATGGATAATACCCTTTTGTAGAGTGAGGTGTTTCGACTCTAAAATTTGAAAAATGTAATCCGAGCATTTCCAAATAACAATAAATTGCAATAATTATTGGTGGCTGACGATTAAGGGAACTTATATCTTTTGGAAGCTAGTGGTGACTAATTAAAAATAGAAAACAAACAATAAATTTCAACTGGAAAAGACATAAATTACTTAGATTTATTGATATCGCCAGCCACATCTGAAAAAGATAGAATAATAGTGACTAGCGGTAGTTAGGTTTTAGGATTGACTAAAAAATTAAAAGAATACTTAAAGCATGACACATACAGTGCTGATTTGATATAATTTGCAATGATAGAAGGAAATTAAATGTTTACAGCTGGAGAATATATGCTAAACGAATATACATATTAAAATGATAAAGTTGGCTAACTGTGTTTTTTTTTGAGTCCTGGGAAAATAAATTGTTTATAAGTGCACTATTTATCAAGCAAGGCACATCCTATCTTAGGATGCCAGGATTCATGTGTACGGGTCCTAAATTAAGATTAAGTATTATATGTAGTTGCTATGACTTCCCCTGTAATATGCATGCATGTTTATGCTCCTTAATACAAAGAGGTTTCAAGTTAAAACAGAATTGAACAGAGAAGATGCTTTGTATTTGGGTTAGAAGATGGTACAATTGTTGCCGCTGACCTTGGAATAGAAAGAGCTAATATTCTATTTACCTTCAAAGTTTCCAGCATTGCTTCAATAAAGCCTTATGATTTCTTCAAAACAGGAAAAACTGATTTAATTATTGCAAGGTAAGATGGCATTGTGGAAGTTTATTAAGATGATTAATTGAGGGTTTAAAAAAAAATTAATGAAGGAATTACAGGTATAGAATGTGGATAATTTTTTAATTTAAATGGTCCAACCGAAATTATTATATCAACATTTTAAGGGAGATTATTACTATTAAGAGAAGGATAAAATAGTTCAATTTCAAAGAATTAAAAAGAAATAGAACTTCAAATCAAACAATTAAAAACTGAAATAGCAGACCTTTAGAAAAATTAACTGAAGGATAGTTAAAAAGCAGGCAACGTTAGCAAATAAAACAATAGTAATAAAGTGTAAGTTAAGTTTAAGGTTTCTCACAAATTGATAAAAAATGACAAGGATGGATCTTATAAATTAATAATAGATTGTTAATATCCTATTGACATAATTGTATTGAATGGTCAAAAGAGTTAAAAGTGCTATACGATAAAGGATCTTAAGGTAAGCAATTATGAAATTACTATTAATTAAAGTGATATTTACAATATTTTTGTGATCCCCATCGAGATCAATTCTAGTTAAAGCTTTTCTATAAATGTCAAACCTTTGGGGTAGTATTAATCAATTAATTTAATGAATATCAAACATTTACCTTTGAGCACGTTGAATTTAAAGGGGGAATTCACTAAGCAAGATATGATAATGTGGGTTAATGATTTAACAGATGTAATTAATTTGATTATAATGATAGTTACAAAATTCATAAGAAGACACACAAACCCATTTATTTAGAAATGCTACCTTAGATAGCTACCTTTAAATCAAATTTAAGTAGGGCCAAGCTCTTTTTAAAAGTGATTCAATATCTGCTATATATAATTGTAGACAATTTATTATGGGTAAGGCAAATGAAAGAGGAATATAAGTGGAAGTAAAATGGGAATGCAAAGACGAAAGCGTTGTGTAATATTTATAAAAAATCAAGTCTTTATACGATGATTGTATTAAATATAAAAAGTAATATATGGATGTAATTTAGAAACTATGAAATTCTACCTGCAATCAAAGAACTCTTGGTTGATAACCCTTTTTCTGTTCTAAGCAAAGAGTTTTAGCAAATTTACTCTACAGAATAAGAGTTATCAGAGATTTATAAAGTACTGCCAAACAATCTCCAATATCTTGAAGATTTACTTATCGACACATATATTTCAAAATGTAATTTAAAATCTTAATTTGATCTGAATATTGAAAATGTGAAATCATTGTGGAAGAGAGACTTTTCAGAATTAATTTAATATATTTTAAAATGAATTATAACATACATTTATTTATGTTTTAGATTATTTATTTTTCACTCTATTTATATCACTTATATGCGACAAAAAAGGAAACCACTTAACAATATTTGCATTTTTATTAATATCCTAAAATTATTTGTATTGTTTAATTATTTATTAGGTGAATTTTTAGATGAGCTCTTTAAGATTAGAGTTTTAAATGAAAAGAAAAAGGAAAACAGAAACTAAATTCACCTTTCCTTATTTTTGATTTTTTCAGGCAGCATTAATGTTAGATCGATGGAATTCTTTATCAAACTCCTCTCAAACTGTATAAATATAAAACTAATCTCAGTAATTTTGTGCTCGGATTTATTTGTTATAAAATCAGGGACTCTAAACTAATTAAATTAGATCAGTTGCGCTTCAAGTTAGTTAGAGTCAATTTTTCACAATTAATTGTACCATTATGGTTCAATAAAATCAGAATACATTTTTGTTTATTATTTTGAAAGAAATAAAATAAATTTTACATAAACGCTAGGAAATCTTAAGAGCAAAATTTATAACATTTCCTTTTTGACAGTAGAAAAATTAATTTGAAAAAGTGTTGTATAAATAATATTATGAATTTATATGTAATTGCTAAGTTTAGAGCTGTATATATTAAACATATTTGAGTTAATCCACACTTAAAATTCATAATTTAAGATAACCTATATACATTTTTTAGTTGTTCCTTTAAAAGAAAGATCGACAGTAACTACAGGTATCAGGAAAATATAAACTCAAAGCCTTTATTAAATTGGCAATAATAATAATATCTTAACAAGTTTGAGAGCAAAACGCTTTTATTTATTAGTGTACTCCTTATTATAATAAAATTAAAATAATTCCCTTTTTCTTAATCAATCAAGTAAATTGAACAAAGGATATCAAGAAGTAAAATACTATTTAATATAGAAATAAAGAAAACATTCTAAATTTTCTGAAAAGAAGCTTAAAATAAGCAAAAATGAAATAATCAATGCGACTTTTGAAATAATTATAAATGGAATTTTTCATTTCATTTTGAATTTCTAAGAAATGAATCTACAGTTTCCATTCCAAGTTATTATTATAGGGGTGACTGTTATTCTGAGAGTTTATTATTTTGAATTTTGGATAATGGAGGTTTATTGATTAACTTTGGTTGATTTTCTAGTGATTCAGTGATTGATTTCTTATTATCTTTAATCTTGACTGTCTTTTTTTCGGCCGTCTAATTTCTTCCTCTCATTAAATTTGATTTTTTTTGTATTTCCACTTTTTTTATGATAGTTTTTATATTAGTTGTTCAGCCACCTCAGTATTATTATTCGTAGTTGAATTAATTTCATTAATTTGTTAATAAGAATGATGTTGATCTTTTATATTATCAAATTATTGGTTTTAGCCATAATGACTTTAAAATCTTAAAGATAAATCTGCTTTTTTTAAGGGTATTTTTTTTTTTTGGAATGAAATGATTATCTAAGTAAGAATACTTAACCGATAAGTCCTATTTTTGCCATTCATCGACTTTTTTATATTGTTACTCTTTTAGATGATATTAAGGGACTTAATATACATTTCTCTAAGTAAAAGTTTCTTAAGGATTATTTACTTTGTTGTTTAAAACCATTCTAGAATTTTTTACATTTTGTTTGAAAATTCCAAAAGAGTTTTTTGAGCATGGTTTTTCACAAATCTTGTGAATATGAATCATATATGATACTAGGCATCCTATTTGACCATCGTTTGAAAAATATCGATTGGATTCATTGTTAATCTTAATAATTAAAATATTATAATGATCAGATTTTCCAATTATTTTACTTTCCCCATTTCTTAATAATTGTAATGATGTATTCAACCTAAGGATTGTCTCCAAGAGTAGTTAATAGGTTCATTACTTCAAGTAATTGATCTAAGGTGGCTTTGGATGCAATAACCATTTAAAATACTCCAACAACAGATCCTTTGAGAGCATCTTCATATTCATGATCCGAATCTAATCTAGCCAAAATATCAAACGCTCTTGCAGCATAATAAAAGTGACCCATTTTATAACAATCATTAGCTATAAGTTGCAAAATTTAGAAAGACTCTGAAGAAGGATCCATATTCAAATACAATTCCCAAGCTTCTCTATAAAATGAATTAATGAAAATACTTTGGTTTTCCATTCATAATGAAGGTTCTTGTCATCCATTTTAAGTAACAATCATCGGACTATTTATTTAATAATTAATACTCTATATTTCTCAGCTTATATTGCAACGAGTGCATCTTCAGCCTCCTTATAATCTCCAACTCCAGCACATGCAATTCCATAATTCCAATTAAAATCATCATCACTTGAGAAGTAATTTTTTATTGATTTTAAGTAAACTAACACATCCTCAAATTACTTGCATAAAAAGAAACATGAAGACATGCACTACCTTCCTGGAATAGTATCACATTCACTAGCAGATGATCCTACCAATTAAAATAATTATTGAGCAGTTTTTAAGGCTTCTTTTTAATCTAGATTTAATTGACCCTTCATAGCATATACTATTGCCTTAAGTATATATTCTTTAGGGGAAGTAGGTTAGATATCTTTAACTAGATTGAATGCCTCCTCAAATTCATCGTTTTTTAAATAGTAAATTATCAGATTCAATTTGGCTTCAGGAAATATTTCAACTAATGGAGGCAATGTTTATAATGCATTTTCTCCACCTCTCATCACAACTAAATTATGTCTTAATAAATCATTATCAGTGAAAACATTTCCTCCCTCATAAGCTTATTGTAAAGGCTTCATTATCTCTTCAGCTGCCTTACCGCTATATAATGAAAATTAATTGCATGCTTTCAAATTCACAGCAGTAACACTTGTAGGATATTGATTTAAATAAGACTGTAGGATTTCAATTGAAACATCAAAATACTCCATTTTATAATAACACAAAGCCACATAAACATTAATAGCAGTATATTCTCGATTCTCTAGCAATAGTTTTTTATATGCATCCGTTGCCTGAAGTTTTATAATCAAAATTAATTACTTCCTCATAATGTCCTCTTAAATAATGAATAGCAGCTAGGCATAATTAATCATGCACATTTTCAGATATCTTATGATGATAAGTCATAAGATTCTTTTCATCATTTTTTTTATGTGCAATATGAAATTATCTTTATATCTCAAATTTTATTACAATCTGACAGCCAAAGGAGTTTCTGGTCCTTTTGAGCATTCTCTTTTTGAATCTTCATATTAGCAAAGTGCATAATAGCAACAGGCTTTATACACATGTATCTCCTTATTGTAGTCAGGTTTGCTCATCATTTGATCGTAAACTTAAATTGCTTTTCTAATTGAATAACTATTAAATGGTTTACTTATAATCTCCATTGTGAAAATATGCGTAGGCTAGCCACAACTTGGGTTCGGCACGTGAATCATTAAAGCTTATTTTTCTAATTGTAAAATTACTTTTATTCATTTTCCAATAGAGCAACTGCTCCAACCCAATCCCTATTTTTTACATAATCCTCAAGAGTTGGCATTTTTTATTCAACTACTTTTACAGCCAATCCTCCACCTGCTGGAGCAGAGACTTTTGTTTATTTCGCTTTACTCATAGATGAGCCCGGGCGTATCATAATATTCTTGAATAATAATTTAAATATATATATTTTCTCTATTTCAGTTACCATGTTTTCCATAATCAAATATTTCAATTTTTATCTTTAAATCTTCAACCAGAATTTATCAAATAATACAAACACTTTAATTACTTCGTTATAACATAATCATTCGAAAGCGAGCCATTAAAACAAGTTTAAAGGAAAATTTTAGGGAATGAATTAGAAAACGGAGAGAATCATTTAAAAATTATAATCCACCAAAGAACAATTATAGTTAAGTATTGAAAATAATAATTCAAATAAAAAGTCTAAGCTTAACAATAAATTATAGAATTTAGAAGCAGAATTACAGAAAATCAATCAAAAAGATTAAGTTGCGAAAGATTATCATTTGGTGTACGATGGATTGATTCAATAACTCTAAATTACTTAAGATCAAAAAATTGGAGCACTATCATAATCTTAAAGAAATTAAAATTTGTAAATATTGTGTTCCATCAAAAAATAAGCAATTAATTTACAAAGCTAAGTTTTAAAAAAAAACATCTTGATCCCCTTATTTAAATTTGCCATAAATGTAATGATGTATACAATTTTTTCATAATTTTTAATTTTTCAATGAATATCTGAAATTTGGTTTTGATTTTTTATTTTAATATGCAAGATTGATATTGATGCAAATATCTCAATAAGATGAAAATAATCTTTTTAAATATTAAAAGGATAAATAATTTCAATCTTAATACAATATATATGATTGTAAAAATAGTCAAAGGAATAAATCCAATGAATATGAAGAAAAAAATTTAAACAATATATTGAAGAACCTGAGTACGAAATAAACGATCTGGTAGAATAAGAAAGATATGAGAAAGAAAGGAATAAAAAATCATACAACCAACCTAAAAAACCATTAGGCTTTAAATAACCTTTAGATATTGTTAAATAATTTGATAATTTAAAAATTGAAGATAAGTAATAAGAAAATATCCAATATTAATAAAAAAATAACTAAATTAGATGATTCTAATTTATACTAGATTTGTTTTGAATTTCCAAAGTAATACGTGCCTTCTCCTTGTGGTCATTTTACCTATTGTCACAACTGTAAAGAATTAGCATTGAAATAGTGTTTAATCTGTAGAGAACCTGTATAATTGCCAATTAAGGTTTTTAAGTTATATTGAATTTATTAACGATAATTAAAAAAAAAAATATCATTAAAATATAAAAGAAAAGACCGAATTAGAAGCATTATTTAGTCAAATGGCAATAGCGGATAAAAATAGAAGAATAGGAAATATTAATTTTGTAAATTTTTATTACATTTCTAATTCAGGCTTTATTTCTCATTCAAACAGTTTGGTTTAATGTCAAATAAATTAGATTCTCTCTTTCAATGTTGATTTGATTAAAAATAATTAAGTTATTGGAATAAACATATGTATTAAGGTAGGAATGCAGAATGATTAAAAAATCATTCTAAAGAGTATATTTAATAATTATTTTGGAGAATGAGTTATTCTAAAATGTCTTTATAAATCACCCATTATCAATCTCCACATTTTATGACAATATTTTTTGAGGAGTCTAAGAATCAAATACCTGCAAAGAAGTGTGATGGGGATTGATATTGTATTCAATAATCAATTATATATATAACTAACCAAAATTGATATGGATGATTAATGCTTCTAGATGGAAGGAAAGTAACAAAATATAGAAAATCATCAAATTAGTTAAATACGTTTTTTAAAATTCTGCAAATTTCAACTTCATATTTATGTAAGTTATATACAGAGTGGAATACAAAACCCCAAAATTAATTGGATTTGTTTTTTTAGAACTAATAATTAGAGGAGTCTCTTATTTACAGTTAAGATCTGTCTAAACCTAATATAAATTAAGGAGTTTACAAAGGTTGGGTATAAAACCAGACCCATAAGAATTATCAATTATTCACCAAAAGACAATTTGCAATAATTAAACATAAGTTAAATTACATGATTTTCATTCAATTGATAANAATCTTTTTAAATATTAAAAGGATAAATAATTTCAATCTTAATACAATATATATGATTGTAAAAATAGTCAAAGGAATAAATCCAATGAATATGAAGAAAAAAATTTAAACAATATATTGAAGAACCTGAGTACGAAATAAACGATCTGGTAGAATAAGAAAGATATGAGAAAGAAAGGAATAAAAAATCATACAACCAACCTAAAAAACCATTAGGCTTTAAATAACCTTTAGATATTGTTAAATAATTTGATAATTTAAAAATTGAAGATAAGTAATAAGAAAATATCCAATATTAATAAAAAAATAACTAAATTAGATGATTCTAATTTATACTAGATTTGTTTTGAATTTCCAAAGTAATACGTGCCTTCTCCTTGTGGTCATTTTACCTATTGTCACAACTGTAAAGAATTAGCATTGAAATAGTGTTTAATCTGTAGAGAACCTGTATAATTGCCAATTAAGGTTTTTAAGTTATATTGAATTTATTAACGATAATTAAAAAAAAAAATATCATTAAAATATAAAAGAAAAGACCGAATTAGAAGCATTATTTAGTCAAATGGCAATAGCGGATAAAAATAGAAGAATAGGAAATATTAATTTTGTAAATTTTTATTACATTTCTAATTCAGGCTTTATTTCTCATTCAAACAGTTTGGTTTAATGTCAAATAAATTAGATTCTCTCTTTCAATGTTGATTTGATTAAAAATAATTAAGTTATTGGAATAAACATATGTATTAAGGTAGGAATGCAGAATGATTAAAAAATCATTCTAAAGAGTATATTTAATAATTATTTTGGAGAATGAGTTATTCTAAAATGTCTTTATAAATCACCCATTATCAATCTCCACATTTTATGACAATATTTTTTGAGGAGTCTAAGAATCAAATACCTGCAAAGAAGTGTGATGGGGATTGATATTGTATTCAATAATCAATTATATATATAACTAACCAAAATTGATATGGATGATTAATGCTTCTAGATGGAAGGAAAGTAACAAAATATAGAAAATCATCAAATTAGTTAAATACGTTTTTTAAAATTCTGCAAATTTCAACTTCATATTTATGTAAGTTATATACAGAGTGGAATACAAAACCCCAAAATTAATTGGATTTGTTTTTTTAGAACTAATAATTAGAGGAGTCTCTTATTTACAGTTAAGATCTGTCTAAACCTAATATAAATTAAGGAGTTTACAAAGGTTGGGTATAAAACCAGACCCATAAGAATTATCAATTATTCACCAAAAGACAATTTGCAATAATTAAACATAAGTTAAATTACATGATTTTCATTCAATTGATAAGACCAATAAATTCAAAATTTGAGATGTAAGTTATTGTAAAATTATCATAATAAAATTCTAAGAAAAGAAGGGAATATTTTAATTATTAACCATTTATTATTATTTATCATGCTAGAATCTGGGTAAATAAGTATGAATAATGAGTTCAAGTATGCTAAGATTAATCAGAAGTGAAAATTTGAATATCATAAGTTTATTAAATAAGATGAATATTTTACCTAAATTGTTAAATGATTAGAATTAAGAATAAATCTTAAATGATCTTTTTTGCTCAGTTAACAATAAGAAAGAATTTATTAATGTAAATTGAATCACGACCAAGAATTAAGATTAAGTTATGCAATTTTAACTCTATAAATAAAAAGGTTTGTAATATTGGATTTTAGTGATTATACAATCTTTATTAAATTATCATAATTCAATTTGATACTAGATAGGCTCCAAATTCCTTGTTCTGGATTTAAATTTAAAGTAAAAATATGATAGCAATAAAAGAATCATTGAAAATAGAATATAAGCTGATGAGCCAAAATTATGATGAAATTTTGGAGGCAGGTAAAATGTAATGTTGTAAATACCATATTAAAATTCGTTTAAGCAAAATATCGGAACAATCATATAACCTTTTTTTGTATAAGCAATACATGTCACATTTTAGGTACCTATTGAGTAATTATATAAAGTTTAATTATAAAAGTACAAGGATGTTCCGTTTCGATATTATTAATCTATAATAATTGCATAATCCTTGATTGAAGTTTCGAATGAACTTTACATCAAAATTGGCTATATAAAATTTTCATCGAAGAGATTGAAATAATAAACCCCAACTATAAAATGACTGTTATTTTTATAGTTTAATTAAAATTGCTACGTCAAAACACCATTCAAATAAAAAGAATTACCAGTATTAGTTAAATTACCATAATTTGGAATAGATCTAATGGCTCTGCCTTTTGTAAAATCATTTTTATTGTACAATTTAAATTACTCTAATCTTACCACTACAATATAACTAAAATAAGTATCACTCACAAGTATTGTAACACTTTAATAATATGTTTGCATAATTAAAACTAAAATATAAAAATTCGGAAGCGGAGAACAAATTTATTTTTAATTGCAAAATTCAATTTCAACAACACCTTATGATTAAATTGTTGAATTACCAATTGATAAAACTATATAGTGAATTTAAAAATTCATCGTATAAAATACAATTATTTTTTGTGATTAACCATCATAAATCATTTATGGGATTTTCGCTATAGAAAAATCGTCACTTTAATGATATGGGCCAGTTAATTCAACTAAGTCGAAGTTAAACCAATACAATTATTAAAATGACTATTTAAAAGTACCTAAAATAAAAATTTAGTTTAAAATGACGCTCATTTTGGATATATTTTAAAATTTAAAGGGAAATTATTAGATATTAATCATTTCTATTTTGTTGTCACAATTTAAAGTAAAGTTAAGCAGATACTAAGAAGTTTGATTTTAACAAATTGAGTATAATGTGTAATTTTATGATGTTGAATTTAGACATAAGCTTAACTTTAGATTTGAATAACTCAAATTAGATAAATTATTTAAATTAGTATTTACCATTTAAATATAAGAGTTATTCTGTAAAGCAAAACATTCATTGTTTATCGAAGTAATTAAGGAGAAATTATTAAGATTAGGAATACTGTAAGATCTATTCAAAGATACACTGCATTAGTTATTTTAATTATAAGTTTTATTGTATACTATTCCACAATATCCCACTTATCTATCAAGAAATAAATTCAATGGATAAGAGAACTTTAAAGACTAAGGAATTATATTATCTAAACTTAAATTTATTCGTAAATATGTTTCATTATTAAATACTGTAAAGTTAGAATATAATAGTAAACTTTAATTAGGAGTCTACTAATAGGCTGTGTTATTTAATAAAGAACTTACAGTGTAGTTATAAATGATATATGGGTAATTTACAGAGTAGTTTAGGTTATAATTGTTAAATTCTACAGACAGCTCAAATTTTTAGTCTCTATTTATTTGATAAATAGTATTGTCTGAAAGAAGTATCATTGATTTAATATACTAGAATTGAGGTATATAAACTTAAAAGCTTTTAATGGCCGAGGCACATTGAATTGGTGAAATTAATTGTAGAATTTAATACAAACTCGAATGATAAGGTAAGGAAGGATTATAAATATAAACTGTGTAATTACTGAAAGTAACATATAAAAAAAGGTTATCAGATTATATTACTACTTTACTATCAACATTTAGACTATAAAGATTCTTTAAATAATAATATTTAGGTAAATATTACACATTCCAAACTTAAAAGCATATATATTGATCATTATTACATATATATGATAAAATTAATTATTAATTTACTAAATTTATTTATTTGATTTTAAAATTGACTTCAATCAAAGAAATAGGTATTGGGAAGTTATTTTAATCAATTGAAATTATGATGACTTCATAAATGTTGTTTATATACAATAAAGATGACTATAGTTATGAATTAACAACAATTTATATAGGATTGAAAAGAATCTTGTTGAAAAATTAATTAATCGTCTCTTAATTTAATGTAAAGATAGTTGTAAAATTAAATGTCATTATTATTATTTCTTTTTTTGGAATTAGAATTATTATACTATTGTATGTTGCTACAAAATCTGAGAAGGATCTTTTAAACGTAAAATTTGCATAACTAATTATACTATTACTCTCATTGTAGTATTAAAACAAATAAATGTTATGTTTATCACTGAGTCCAATTATTATTTTTTAAGGATAAATGCTATAGGCAATTTATAAGGAGCTTGCATTTATGGAAATACTAATAGAACATAATTTAGTGAATTAATAAGATTCTATGATATTTTAGCTCCATAAAATATCAATTGAATCATTATTAAATCCTATTAAATATTATGATGTCAAATAATAATTAGGCTAAAATATTGACAAAGATTAGACTAATTAATAACTCTACATAATTTCGCCAGCCTTTTGCTAGGATGTTAAAGTAAACTTTAAAGGAATTCCATCTGGATTTTATTAATATTGTAATAATTACCCTGAAAAACTCACAAATGTATGTTTAGCTGTAATTTCCAAAAAACTATATTATGAAAAATATTAATTAAATATTACATATACATTTGTATCATTCTAAAGTAATACTTAAAGTTAAATATTAGAGTAAGTGAAATATTTCAATTCATTTTGGCATATAAGTGAAAAAGCATAATTATTTCCAGCAATCTTTAAATTAGTTAAATTTACCTATAAAGAAGGCAATTAAATTTTATAAACACTGATGTGGTGGTTAAATACAAATAATTCATTATCAGAATTAAAATAAATTATGGAATTTTTGGAATGATTTAGATGATAATTGTAGATGTTATTTACTTCTAATTCTTAAATGAGTATTTTATCTTTTAGTTAAATTACTACAAATTAGTTGTTTTTGAGTATCTTAAAAGCAGACTCATATTAAAGTTTTTCATTTGGAGCTACAAGGACTATTGAATTTTCACATCCTAAAAGGTAAGGAACATAATTTTATGAACTTATTAAAGCAATTTGATCGCATTAAGGAAACGTCCGTAAATCGTAATAAGCATTAATACTAATAACAGGATGCAGAAAAAAAGGGATGCTATAATTATATTCCTAATAAAATTGAGACTCTGAAGATATTGATAACTATAATATCTCTTTTAAAGTCATTACATAAATCTTAGGACTTATGGTAATTGGGATATCAAAATCGACAAATTAATTATATAAGCTACTTTAATTTACAAAAAATGATGAAAATAATGAAAGTATTGAATACATCTCAAAATATTAGGCATATATGATAAACGCATTTGTTCCATTAATAATTGATTGTATTTTGGTTGAATTCGGTTCATATGATTATATTTAATAAGCAATAATTGATTATGTATCCATTAATTGAATTAAAAAGAGTTCATTCTACTTATAACAATCTACTATAATTGAAAAAAATTTTGACAAATTGATGTTAAAACAATTAAACGAATTATCAATGTTTACAGATTCTCCAACTTATTGAAGTATTTTATTCTTCCACTCATACATAATTATTTTATTTCCAATTGACAGAGTACTAAAATGTGTAGTATTTGAGGACAATGATATCAATTCTATATAAAATTTTTATAGTTTACAATTTCCTTTTAATCTGTATATTTCTTCACATTAATTCATTATTTATACATTTGGAACTTAAGGATAAATTTTACAGTTTAATTAATAATCTGGTAGAAAATTTGACAAATAGTATTCGTAAAATTCTCCCTATGTTGGGTACAACGAAATTTATTTTTCCTTTGTGAAATGCATATCAGTTAACTAGCAAATCCCATAGATTAATAAGGTATGTATTATCATTTAAAAATATTAATTTAAAAAATTTGTGTTTATCAATATTAATATTGGATTCAATAGAAATTCCAATACGAAAAAACTATAATTAGAAATACAAGCTTATGGTATAATTTTTAAAATATTCATAGAATTAAGCCCCTTTCTGCTATTATTATTTTAATAAAAATAGATAAGAGAGAATTTAAGCACGAAAATTCTAAAGTTTTACCCAAAAGAAATTTCCAAGTTTATGGCAAATTTTGCTTAAATTCTTGAAACCGTTAACCCTTTTAAAACAAATTATAAAATAGAAAAAAATATTATTAAGAAATCTTATCAATTTCATATATATATATAGATTGAAAATGAATTTACAATTTTCTAAAAACATTACCTTTCATATCTTTACCAATACGCAGTCAGAAAATCTCAACAAAATGTCTTTGAGGGCATGTATTTAGTTAACTCAACGTTAATCTCAAGATTTGAATTTAGGAGAATAGGGTTTTCCATTTAGTTTCTACATAACATTCACTGAAGAAGGATTAGAATTGGAATTCATGCAAGAAGAAGCTTGCAGAATAATAAAGGAATGGAGTTAATATTTTGATTACTGTGTTAGCTTAGTTGATTATACCTTTTTTTAACAAAATTTAATATTTAAATTCTATAGTTATGTGACAGGTATTGTTTTGGGCTTTGGAAATAGAAAATAGTGTAGAGATGAACTGACTGTGAAGAAATACCTATATATTTTATCACTCATATTATGTGTTTATAAGGTTTAGATAAGTTGATCTTAAATGACTAAGGTCACATGGGTCTAATACTTCCGTGACTGTTAATGATAAAAAGAAAAACTTGTTTGGTTTGTATAATAGTAAATGTGCGATAAATTCTGTGAAAATCTTTGTTCTTCTTAAGAAATATTTTGAGTCAAGATGAATAATATGATAATAATTGTAGAAATATTCCTTTTGATATAAACTATACTTTTTATGTAAAAGTCAAGTTCACTGCCAATAAGGTTGCCCTAAATGTAATTGTAAATAATATTAGGAATCTTGCAGGAATGGATGGGAGTTAACGAGAAGGCAACGAATCCCGGTTCCTACAGGAAGACCTTCTACGCGAAGGCAACGAATCTCGGCTCTCTTAGAGGAAGACCACGCGAAGGCAACGAATCCCGGCTCTAGAGGAAGACCGTACACTTTTACCTTTCTTATTGCTTGCTAACTAGGACTGTTTTGCTTGACTCGTTCTACCTGTTGCTAGGTAAATGGTTTGGATATACTCTATTTATAATAAAATTAGTGGAACCCAACTGTTTTGCTTGACTAGTTCTTCCTTTTGCTATATCCTAAATATATAGGGTTGGTTTTTGCTGTTCCCTCTTGACCAGCACTACGCACAGGCAAAAAATCCAAGGAGTGCTAACTAGAGAAAATTTGATCCCCATCTTTTTTTTTGATTGATTCAAAATTCAACATGATAATTTATTTAGGTACAAAATTATAGTTTAAAACAAATTAATGTGAGGAATGGCAACATTTCTCAATAAATATTAAATGTTTTAATTTTTCCATTTTAAGAGAAGGAAGGTATTCCAAAAAAAAATCAGATGTACTTTTGGCAGATTAAAATAATAATCAAAATAATAGTTGATAATAATGTATATATTTAAGGTTTTCTGAAAATCAAATATCTTTTCAGTCCTTTATTCTCTCTAATACTTTTAATATCAATTGAAAATAATAATTAACAGGTTACGAAAATATGAACAAGATTAGAGTAGAGTAATTTTAAAAATCATTCCCAATGTTTAACTTTTTTATCATTTATGATTATTAGTAAGTTTAATTTTATTTTTTAATTGTAACTTTTTTCTTATCTTTGTTTTAATTCTATATAAATATTAATTTATAGCAGTTGTTTGTGACATCTCAAGAAATACTTTCATAATAGTAAATTAAAATGGTGTATTCGTTGGCTAGAAATGGAATACTTTTAAGAAACATGTAATTATCAATCTTAAGAAAGTTTTAAGAAAATGATAAAATGGTAATTGTAATTATTTTAATGAATAATCAAATTCACTTATGCTTTAAGTCTTCTAAAAAGCAACTATCCTTTGATTTAAACAAAGGTTTTAAATCTTTCCCTTAATGATTAATGAATTGTCCTTATAGGATAAGTGTTCCTGATGCTTCAAATAAAGGATTCTAACATATTCTAAGTATTGTACGATCAGGATTAACTAAATAATAATAAATATTGCATACCAATTGGCAAATAGGGGCTATTCTGAAGAGGTATGTTAAACTAGGCAAGCAAACCATTATAGCTACTATCTGATTGAAGTATTTCCTTTGATGTTTGTACATTCCAAAGACGAATAGAGTTATCATCACTACCTGAAGCTAATGTGTTTCCATCTGGGGAGAAATTGACTGAATTAACTGTTGATGAATGCCCATCTAATTTGGCTTTTTATTATCCTGTCTTAACATCCCATAAACGGATAGACTTATCATAACTACCAGATGCTAATGTAGTTCCATCAGGAGAGTAACAAATTGTTCTT